TATATATATATATATATATATTTAGTGACATAATTTTAATATCTGCAAAATAAACGATAATAATTGTAATATTTACGATTTAACATAAATTTAATTTTCTGAATTAATAAAGAACTTTTTCAAAACACAAAATAAGAATTTGAATATAAAATCTAATCTTAACTAATGTGATTTATTTAGTAATAGTGCTCGTTTAAGTTACTTTAAACATGAGTATTGAAAATAAAAAAAAAACGTGAACCATAATATATAACCTAAAAGGGTTTAAATATGACAAAACCATGCATGAAAAATACTCATTGGACTATTTAAAATAGTGATCAAAAGATAGTTGATGAAAACTTGTATTTGCCAATTTTTCATAGGTTTGTAGTAACGAGAAGAGTCACCATCTTACTTATAAAGTTATTACTCGTATTTAGAATGAAAATGTTATGTCATTCTTTTTGCAAAATATTCTGAGTTTATACAATATTCAAAATTTGGTTGTCATAGATTTACTTGATATTCCTAATTCGAAATTGGATGACTGGTACGTATCCTTAGTTAGAAAGTGACTATTTTCTTTCATACTTCTCAAAATCACTTTAAGCGAAAGTTTGATCTGAAAGAATTTCATCTTCCTAGTAAGGCTCATATTCATTGGAAACTTGTTTACATGCCAAAATTCTTTCAAATAGGAAAATTCAACTTAAAGGAATTAATATGTACTCCATGTGTTCTTTGTGCAAGTATCAAGACGAGAGCATTTTGCATCTCTTTTTTATTGCCATATTTCTCTTAAATTTTGGTCATGGCTTAAACAAATTTTTCTAGATTAAGTTTTTCTCTCTCCTAATGATATTTTGTAGTTTCTCAAAGTTGAATGTTAAATTACTTTTTACAATATTATGAGTATAATAGTATATATGCTACAAAAAGGTCTCTCTAATTAATAAAAGATGTGTAAATTTACATAAAAATAAAATAAATGTTGGTCAGAATTCTTTCCAATTGCAATGACTGAGTTATTATGAACCCATATGACAATAGGTTCATCGTGTGGTTGCTCCACATTATAAAAAACCTTTCTAAGTCAAATAACTTGATTTGCAACTGTTGCAGCTAATATATACTCAAGCAAACCATTTAAGATAATATGTTTTATTATTCTTTTAATTTTTATATTAATTAATTGATTCGTATAAATTTTATTGATAAAAAATATTTATCTCAACTTTTCTTTTTTTTATAATATAAATTTTTTTACCTCTATCATGAGGTTTTACTATTCTTCTAATTTCTGTGTTAATTAATTCATTTAAATTTTCTTGATAAAAATAATTATAATTATAAAAAAATATTTATCTCAAATTTTCTTTCTTTTTATAATATAAGATTTTTATATTATTAGTTATTGATATTTTGTTATTCTTTTAATTTTTGTATTAATTAGTTGATTAATTTATTTAAATTTTATTAATAAATAGGAAAATTATTTCAAAATTTATTTTTTTTATAATATAAGATTTTTATTACTATTAATTATTGATTTTTTATTATTCTTCAAATTTTTGTGTTAGTTAATTAATTCGTTTATTTAAATTTTATTGATAAAAATAATTTTAACTATAAGAAAACATTTCAAATTTTCTTTCTTTTATAATATAATATTTTTATTACTATTTATTAATTATTCATTTAATTTTTGTGTTATTTAGTTAATTAAATCATTCAATGATAAAAAAGTTTAATTATAGGAAAACATTTATACCAGATGTTTTTTATAATATAAGATTTTTATCATTACTAGTTATTGATATTTTATTAATCTTTTAATTTTTATGTTAATTAATTAATTTAAATTTCATTGATAAAAATAATTTTAATTATAAGAAAAAAATTATTCCAATTTTTCTTTCTTTTATAATATAAGATTTTTATCATTATTAATTATTTTTCTAATTTTTGTTTCAATTAATTAATTCATTAATTTAAATATATCATTTTTAATACATACTTCAGAAAATATGAGGTCCGACTTAAGAAAACCTTAACTACCTCTCCTTCTCCGACAAACCATTTACTTTGCTACTACTTCCCTTTCGCGAGGTGTCGTTGCTCACACGAAGCCTGCAGCCATGTTGAAACGCTCAAACCAAAACCTCCACGCTTGCGGTCACGCCTTCCTCGCTCAAACGAAGCCGTCTTCGGCAACGTTGGCCGCTACGAAAGTCCCTCCGGCGCCGCCGCTAAGGCCCATTTTGCCTCTACTTCCACACTGCGACCGTCTTCACGGATCTCATCTCCTCCAACGCTGCATCTCGCCTCCGCGATGAGACCGGAAGCACCGTCAGCTGGCCATGTCATCGCCGCCTTCATCCCTATGTGAGGGTTTGTTCCCCAGTTGGTTTCTCCTCTGGCCACGTCGCCGCTCCGTTCTCTGTTCGAAACTCAGCGTGGGGAAGATGAACGAATGTATGGTGATAGTTGAGGGGATGGATCTGTGTGGTTCAAAATAGCTCCTTAAATAATGAATCAATGAAAACAGAAAAAGTAAAGCGTACTAAAAAACTCACTAAGGTAGGAAGAAAAAGATAGACGCTGAATAAATCGACAAGCCTATCATGCCCTTCATCGGTATATATACATACACAATATACAATGAATGGTAGCTTATTACTTAGTACTATATACTGAGATGTAGTCTTTGAATGTGAAAGGATGATCCAAGGAATTTCTATAGTGTGGTTACTATACAGTGTCCTTTGATCACGTATAACTCGATCCTTTGATGAGACGATAAAGCTTTTGTTATTTGACATCTCTGAATAACTATAAAATTAATAAACTTAGAACGAAATGAAAAGAAAGAGAAAGAGGAAGAATAAATATATGGGTTGCATATATCATTAACTTGTGATACACGTATGATGAGACTTTACAAAGTAAAAATTTCAAATATTATCTGTACAGTTATCTCATGTTTAAAAACAAGGTGTTATGGAAGCAGAAGTGCAGCAACTGTGGTGAAAAGGAAGCTAATAAGTTCTATATAACTAGACGACGGATTAACCTGCAAAAAAATTAGACAAAGAAAAACTTCTTTCCCAGATTAGGGTGGCATTGAGAACTAACAACCAATTCAAGATTTGAGGAATCCAGCGGCGAAAGGAACCCCGGTAGCCTTCAACCAATCGTCAGCATTCCCAGTAGTTCCACCTTTCAGGAATTGGCCAACAGTGAATTTTTCAGCATCGGTCTTAGTAATAATTCCTTGGTAACCCTTCCACTTTATCCTTCCTTGAACGTTGGAACCAGGTCCGCTGTTAGCGTACTCAGCATAGTACAAGGTGTCAAGAAACATGGTCCCATCCCAAGGACACCACCCCTCCGCATTAATAACGTCACCTATGTTGCTTTCCATCACAACAGTTCTTGCATATTGCTTCCACGGCCTTCCCAAGTACGATTTAACGGTCAACCTCGTAGGGTACAGAGCCTTCTCTGGCACTATCTCGCAGTTCTGGATCACGATCCCTGTCGCCATGTTCTTCATCTTCGTTCCGTCCGCGGTCACTGTGTTGAACTGGTTAGATAGTGGCAACCTCGCGATGATTCTCGAGTTCTGGATCACAGTCGCAGATGCTCCGAAGATGAAGTCGATTGTTCCAGAGATTTCACAGTTCCGGTAGAATTGCCGGTTGGCGTGAACGTACAGTGTGTCTTGGTAACCGTGAAATGCGCAGTCGAACATTGCTGACATGTCTCCCTGGTTTCTGAATGCCACTGCCTGGTGCTTAGCGGCACCCGCGGTATTCTCGAATGTCATTGACTTGGCGATGAATCCTGGTGCAGTGTTGGCTGTGTATACGAAGAAAAATAAGAGTTAATAGAGAAGAAGATCTAAAGATTCACAGAAAAAAAGAAAATAAAAAGAAGGAATTGAGAGGAGGGTAGATACCGAAGGTAGCAGTTTGCATTGTCTTGACGCCATCTACAAAGTTCTTGTGACCGGTAATAATGGTCTTTGCAGGGCCATCTCCATAAATGAGAATATTGGATGACTTCTTAGGAATGAGGATGTACTCATCATAGATCCCAGCCTTAACGTAAATAACAAATCTGCCCGTGTTGCCATTAGGGTAGGAATCAATAGCTTCCTTAACGGTTTTGAATTTTCCACTGCCATCCTTCGCAACCACTGCGTTGGGTTCCCCAGCTGTGCCTTTATCCACGGCAGCAAGGAGCTTCCGATCTGCACCAGAGAACCACGTAGGTAACCCTTCATCGTCCAACTCTAGAAGACGCCGAGAAGCAGGTCTCAAATTCAACTTCAAGTCAAATTTCTCAAGGATATTGGACAAGTTTGTCACGATGTCAAGGACTATGCCCGTCATCTTTCCCATTTCGTCCAAACTATCTGTGTTTAATTTTTCCTTAATTTCTTTCTCACCGTTTGTGCCGTTGTTTAACCCGTCCATGCACGTATCCTGGTACGAGATTATAGAACTCAACCAGTTCCTGAAGTCTGGGGTTTGGTCATACATGGCTTGAATGTTCTGGTCGCGGACCAAGTTAACCGAGGACTCGATGCTATCCAACGCGAATTGGATCAAATCTTTACAATCATCGAGGGCCATTTTTATGCCGGGATCCTTGTCTCCATGCTCCACTTTCAGCCTATCACTCATGTTCAAAGCTTGGATCACTCTCTGCATCGTTGCTTCCACTCCTGCTGCTATGTAAACCTTTGGGTCTGAGGTGTTACCTTTCACAGTGCTCATAGTTTCGTGACAAAGCTTAGGGTCTTCGGTGCCTTCGCACATTACCTTCACGTTCTTTTGTTGAGCAGCTACTTTAGGATCAGATGATGAGTCACTTTTGTTAACCACGACCACAACACCGATGGCAACACCCACCACGAGAATCAGGGAAACACTAGAGATAACCACCTTTCCATTCGCCATTTTTCTTTTTCTTTTTTCTTGATCAGATTTTTTTTTTCTCTTACCAATTAATGATACCTAAGCAACCTTGGCAAGATGCTCCTCCCCTTATTTTCGTTTCTTCTTTTGGGAGGATATGATTTATTGATTAGTATTATCGGCTTCGTGAATCACATAATGTTCATTCAAGGGCTTTATATACGCACTTTAACTTTTCTTAGTTCTATCTTGGAATAGATGAGAAGCCCAACCTTGCATGAACGATTGTCCAGAATTAACGTTGCCTTTCAGAATTTTAGGAGGGATTAATCATGCCACTGTTATTTCTTCCACAACTGCTTATTGCTATGGTGAAAATAATCATCCAAAAATACGTGAGGGCATTATTATCTGAGTAAGATTCTGCGTTGAATTGATGGCAGATAATGTTTGCATATGGGTCTGGATTTTTTTGTCCGTACATACGTTGAAGCATTCCTTTGTTTTTGCAGAACCGTAGGATTATTGGTGATGGATTTGAAGGACTTATTACCATTAATTGAGATTATAAGGCTTTTATGCATTATGAGAGTTTTAATTATATAAATACGGACATACTTATATGTGTATAAATTTGATTTCAAAAGCTTCAAATATCATCTGATTATATAAAAATATTTAATTAAAATTTAGGGTTAAATCACATGCTTTTTTAGACTAAATATCACGTGAAATTTTTAAGAGATTACATAAAAATTTAATCTAATATAGTCATATTGATTTACATCCAAACTTTAATTTGTTTGATTGAAAACTTCCCCGACGTGTAATTTTGAATTTCCGAATTTATAGTGTTATTCGACTTTCCAAATTATCGTTACCCAGGCACATTTCAAAATTTGGTTCTGTATGATACTACTCTGTGCATATTCAAACTGATGAAAGTGGATCAGTGCATTGTTATGATGAAGTAAAGGTTGCACAGGTTCCATATGTGTGTAGCTGCAATATAGAATGATAAATGCTTATTCGCCGAAGAATCTTGGAGGTGAAATTGTTGTTTTTGAACGTTGGTTAGGCTATTACTTCCAAGTAACTTAAGTCGAGTTTTGAGTATAATTAGAGGAAAGATTTAGCTGTAAAAAAATTTCTGAAGCTTAAATCAGTAAAAGAATAAAAATATGTGTTAAAATAATAATAAATTATATATATGAATATCAGAGTTAATATGAGTACGAGAGTTTAATTGAGTATTTTCTGAATATCATGTAATATATATAGGATTATTAAGCTGTTGAATATAGACTTAACATATAACTAAAGATAGTATATGTATGCAGACTTAGAGATTCTGGGCATGCTCAAGATCCATTTTGATCAAAGTTGGATATCCCATAAGTCTTTTTGGACCCCAAATTTGGGCCGGATATACTTTTTTTTTATTTTATGTATGAAAAGGAGATGACCATAAGTTATTTTCTTAATGAAAAACTTGGATAAAGATCGGTTCAAAATGTACATAAAAGTAAAAATAGATAAACTAGTAGTTTACAATCTCAGAGATCTCATCTTTTAAATTCATGATCTTGTAATCTTGAAAAGTAGGTTTTGAGTTTCCCGATTTACCTTTTATCACTCTTTAAGGCAAGTAACTGCTTATTGCAGAACAACATTATTTAAAAACTTAAATGGACTTAACTTTTATAGATCACTTTTTTTATTATATTTTTAATACAGCGTCATCACATTCATTCTCTCCAATATAACACCTTTCTTTGAATGTTTGGACTGATCCTACTAAAACACTTATTCACTCACTAAAAGTCTTTATTTTATTTTATTTTTTAATTATAAGCAACCAGTGCTTAAAGAATGAACAAGCTAACGGTTGTACTTGCCGAATATTCTTACCTATAAGAAAAAAAAAAGAGAAATTTATAGGAAACCAAAAAACATAAAAGCCCTCAGACACGATGTGCTTTATAAATTGGCTCTTCTCTATTATTATGTTATGGGGAAAAATATTTTTCAATTTTACGATAATTAATCTCATCTAAAAAGAATTGATTAACTAGCTATCTTTAACCATAATCCTGCCTGATTATTATTTTCCATTTCAATCGATTATGATCTAATCACCAAACAGAACAGAGAAGGAGAGCGTCCTCACTGTATAACCCGTGCAAAAAATTTACTTAGTTATACACTATTAACCATAGGTAATCATCATTAACTTTATGGGTGAAATTATTGAAGCCATGATGAAAATGAACTCATTAGAAAAAAATACTTTAAATAGGCAAATTAAATCGCAAACTATGTTAACATAACCATGCACATCATATATATTAAATCACAACTCAATTTAAAGACAGATCCACTTTAGAGAAAAATTATATGATCCTAAAATTCTATGCATTGCAATTTTTTTTAACACAATACCATTCGAGCAAAATCATCCCCTGATCACCAGAAGACATTAGATAAGAGAAGAAAATAACATACGTGATTAAAAACTACATCACAAATGAAACAACAGCCACAACATGGAGCCGTGAAACAATACTTTCCCTTTTTCTCCTAGAGTTCTGAAATTTGAATTATGAATAATTTATACAGCTCTCAATTTAACACATCTTAATAAAATATTAAAATAATCAATCATATAAGAAGGGCTCTTTTATGAATATCTGTTTCCAGCAGTACATTGACTTGCTCTTAGCTTTGAGTATACTAAATTTAGTTTTGTAGTTTTCCCAACTCTTTATCGTAAAGATGGCAATAATCCAGAAGTAAAGGATGGAAAGGGAAAAAAATAGAGAGAACCAATACATTTTTTTAACTTGTAAAACAAATACATTAAAATGAATAGCAAAGAACCTCATGGATTATGAACAAAATGAATGTAGTGTAAACAATTGGATATAAAGTCATGCTGGAGCAATTTGCCACCATCTTCTGAAGCACCTTATATATTTTGCATGCAAACTTGTGCACATACTCACAAATATAGAGACAAAGAGAAACAGAGAATTAATTTGGTGTTTCACCGGCAGGTCCAGGTCGAGTAGCCAGCAAAGGTTGAAGAGCTTTGACTACAATGCTCATGTTTGGTCTGAAATCAGCTTCATATTGCACACAAAGTGCGGCAACAGCAGCCATCTGTAATTAACCAAGTATCATGTTGTTATCCATGAATATTGTTCTTAAATTGATCTTTTATCGTTAAGGACAGTTGTCCTGGGTATCTTTAGTTACTATTAAGATTCTCAGCAAAAAAAAAAAATGGGTATGTTTCCTATATTAAAAATTTGTATATTTTCCTCTGGCATAATTAATACTGTCTTCCAATTGCTCAATTAATTAATACATCCAACAAATTTCCACCTGAAGGGACTGATAGAACATTTTAGATTCAAAGTTTGGTCTTATGCAAATTTAGTATTTACTACCTAAACAAAATATAGAATTCTAATCCTACCTCTAGTGAGCTGCTTTGCATAGTTTTCCAATTCATATGCATACAATTTCAAATAATATATAAGCAATAGAATATTTTCCAGTACATTTAATACAACGTTAGCAAGAAAATGGAAAAATAAAGTAAATTGTGAAGAACGGTATACGAAATGACAGTAAGCACCTTAGCAACAGCTTTGGGTGGGTATTCTCCTCCTAGTCTTGTATCAACACACTGCCTGACTTTATCCTCACTGAGTTTTGGTGTAGCCTGAAACAACATATATCCATTGCTGTCATCAGTGTCATTAAGCTAGAATTTTAGTGTCAACAATAGACAGTGATAAAAAGGCTTAGGTTTTCCTCCTTTCGATTGGAGTGTGTTAGAGGAGGAGTAAAGATAAGATATAGGATGAATTAGTACCCAAGTAACCAGACTCTGCTGTCCGCGTGGTAGTGTATGATCTACAGGTTTCCTTCCAGTCAGAAGTTCCAAAAGAACAACCCCAAAACTGTATACATCACTCTTAGCATTCAATTGTCCAGTCATTGCATATCTGCATCCACAAGATTAGACAGATAGTAATTCAGCATTCTATCTGAGGCCAGGGTAGTGTGCCATATACAATAAAAAGTTTGTTTCTCCAAATTGATACTATGATAAAGAGACAAAATTTATATGAATGGTAATTCTGTTTAGTGAATTTAGTCAACTATTACAGAAGGGAAATTGATGAGTTTGTAATCATGTCTTACTCTGGAGCATGATAACCAAAGGTAATTCAGCATCCACAAGATTAGACAGATAGTAATTCGGCATTCTATCTGAGGCCAGGGTAGTGTGCCATATACAATAAAAAGTTTGTTTCTCCAAATTGATACTATGATAGAGAGACAAAATTTATATGAATGGCAATTCTGTTTAGTGAATTTAGTCAACTATTACAGAATGGAAATTTATTGGTTTGTAATCATGTCTTACTCTGGAGCATGATAACCAAAGGTTCCAAGGACACGAGTAGAATGAAGACGTGCAGCCATGTCGGGAGCTTGATTTGATAAATCAAAATCTGCAATTTTAGCAACATCATCATCAAAGATTAGCACATTGCTTGACTTGATGTCCCGGTGGATAATGTGGGGATCAGCCTTCTCGTGCAAGTATTCAAGTCCTCTTGCAGCCCCTACTGCAATCTTTACTCTTTGTGCCCATGACAAAACTGGACCAGGCTGTGCTCCTTTAACACCTTTTCTGCCTGCATGTACAATGACAATTGCGAGAACATTTATGTATAAAAAGATACAGACTTGACTAATATATCGCTCAAATGCTGAGATTGCCAGTGAAGGTAACAAAACGAAAAGAAAATAATGTCAAAATCCGTAATCTCATCAGTTCTTCTATTAAAAAGAAAAAAAAATTCAATTAGCCGTTTATAGATGTCAGTAGTTTAAAAATTTAACCAAAGAAAAATTATTTACCATGCAAAATATCATGAAGAGATCCATTAGATGCAAACTCATAAGCAAGAATACGGGAGCTTCCATCAATGCAATATCCAAGCAACTGAACAAAATTTTCATGCTTCAGCCTTGATACCATTGAAACCTAAAATATTACAAATAAGAGGGTTTATGGAAATTGAACAACTTAATGATCAGACAAAAAAGTATTAAACCAAGATCGTCATATACATACGTA